CCCATGTCCCAACCCACAACTGTCACCTTTGTACCTTTAATCAAGAAACAGTCCCTTGTCCTAAAAGACACTATATCCATGACTTCATAAGAAAAAACCTACCGTGGAAGTAGAACTGGCAGGTCAAATGCTCCCCTGATGGCTCTTCCTTGAAACAAGGATGCCACTATTCATCATCAAGCCAGAATTAATTTCGACTGTGAGTCATCAGTACCCTTATGTCTAAATCAAGCCCAAAGTGAAGATCTCAGAAAGGGCAGATTCCTTGTCAGAAAAAAATTACAATTATACTGGCAGAAGTATTCAGAATGAATAGGTCAAGGTTCATAATGACCCACTGAAACCCCTACCCAAACTTGTACAACTCTCTGAAACAGAAGGTAAAGAAGGACTAAAGCCCCACAGTTGGAGGCCTAATAAAGAAACAACTCATCGTATCATACTCTGCTTAGGGGCTTGCAAGGATGAAATTGGGGAGTGGCCAGGCTGCATTTTCACTGGAGGTTCAAATGGGGAAAAATTTACTGCCAACTTCATTCAGATGGTTGGCAGAATTTATTTCCTTGTGGTTGTATGACTAAGGGCCCAACTTTTTGCAGGCTCTCAGATGGAGACTGCCCTCACTTCGAAGCTGCCCACAGTTCATTGCCACATGGACTTCCTCACTGTGACTGATCACTTCATCAAGCCAGCAACCAGAATCTTGATCTCAAGTCTAAGATAGTCTTATGTAATGAAGCATAATCAAAGGAGTGACATCCAAACAGTTTGCCACATAATGTCATTGAACACAGTGACAACCCATCATCTTTGCCAAGCTAATTAAGGGATTGGCATGCCATCACCCTTGCCATTCTGTTAGTTCGAGAAGCCAGCCACAGGTTCTACCCAACCTGAAGAGGAAGGAATTACACAAGAGGAGGGGAATACACAAAGGTTTGGAGGCCTGACTTCCTCAAAAAACTAAACATAGAATTACCACATGATCCAGCAATTTCACTCTTGAGTACAAACTCCAAAAAACTTAAAAACAGATATTCAAACAAATACTTCTACACAAACTTCATAGCAGCACCAATCACAATACTCAAAAGCTGGAAGTAACCCAAATGTCCATCAGTTAATGAGTGGATTTTTATTTAAGTGGTTTACCTAAACAATGGAATATTACTCAACCATAAAAAGGAATGAAATGCTAATACATGTTATAACATGAATCCCACATTCTGCTTAGTTTAATCAACTGTTAAACCTATCTAAAGTCCTTTTTTTTATATTATATTTGCAGTTACATAATTTCTATTTAATTTTTTTGTAGATTCTTGTAAAATTCTTTATCTGTTTTCTCCATATTTTCCTCAAATTTCTTTAACGTATTAATCACAGTTATTTCACAGTTCTTATCAACCAACTCCAATATCTGGTGTGTATGTAGATCTGTTTCAATTGTCTGTTTTATTTTTTCCCTTGGTGTTTGATTTCTTCTAGTATATCTAATAAATATATCTGATAATTATATACTTAATGGCAGACAATGTGTATAAAAATGGTACGTGTATAAAATTTATATCCTGGAGTATCATTCATTCAACAAATATTTAGTGAGCTCTGACTATGTGCTAGGCATCATATGCAAGTGATACAGTAATAAACAGAGCACAATCTCTGCCACCAAGGACCTTACAATCCAGTGCAGGAAGAAGGTATTTAACCCATCATTAAAATGGCCTATAAGGCCCTACAAAATCTGAGCTCCCTATTATATATCTTACCTCTATTACCTCATCTCTGACTTGTCTCTCCCTTGGTCACTCCACTCCAATCACATGCTTCCTTATTTGTTCAATATCAGGTACACTTCAACCTCAACACCTCAGCACTTATTCTTTCTGCCTACCATTCTAGATAGCTACATGACCTACCCTATCATCTCTATAGATGGTTTGCTAAACCTATTTAAAATTGTGAATATAGCCCCACCCCCCAGAATTTTCTTTCCCCATTCCCTGTCTTATGTTTCACCATAGCACATACTATATAATCTATTATTCGTTTATTGTCTGTCTCCCTCTTCTATAGTTTAAGCTCCATGAGGGCATGAAAAACTGTTTTGGTCTCTGGTTCATTACTATATACGCAGCACTTCAAACAGGGTCAAACAGTGTGCACTTGGCAAATATTTATTGAATAGATGAGTGAATAAATGAATAATTGATTTTAAATGTGATGAGTTAAGTATAGATACTATGGGAAAATACAGGAGAGGGCCTAATCTAATCTAGACAGTCAAGGAATGCCTGTGTAAGCAATTTATTTTTAATTCAAAACCTAAACAATGAGTAGAAGACAATCAGGAATGAAAACAAAAACAGAAGCAACATACATAGGACAGAGTTAAGTACAGAAGTTTTAAGAATCTGAAAGATATCAAGTATAGCTGATACATACAATACAAAGGGTAGACTGGTACTATATCAGTTTGGAAAGAAAAGCAAAGGCCAGCTATTTAGAGGATTTAAATGAGTAGCCATTTGAGAGTTATGGAAGACGGGCATACGATCAAACCTGGATTTTTGAAAGATCACTGAAGTTGAAGTGTCAAGAATTAGTTGGGTGGGAGCAAGGATGGCTACAAGCAGACCAATTAGAAGGCTGATAAAGTAAGCTAGACTAGATGGTAGTAGCTAGAACTTGGTGTTAGCATAGAAAAAAAAAAGAAGTAAATGGATCAGAAAGCTATTTAAGTGAATTCTCTACAGTGGTGTTTATCGCGAATATCTCCATGTTTCTTGCTTGAGAAATGGTATGGAAAATGCCACCACTTACCTTCTTAGGTGGGAAAGAACAAAAGATAAGAAGTTTAGAGCAGGGGTCAGCAAACTTTTTCCTAATGGACCAGAAAATAAGTATTTTAGGTTTTGTGGGCCATATGGTCTTTTTGCAATTACTCAATTCTGCCATTATATTGGAAAAGCAACCACAGACAATATGTAAAGAAATAAACATGGCTGTGTTCCAATAAAACTTTATTTATAAAAACATCCATGCATGATACTGTAGTACTAAACCCTGCTTTAGAGAGAAAGATGATGAGTCTGGCTTTTGACTTGTTATTTTTAAAGTGCCTCAGGGGCCTCAGGTAGTGAGAGCTGTTTAAGAAGCAACTAAATATGTAGTTCTGAGGTTCAGAAGAGATATCTAGAACAGATATCTTTTTGAGATTTGAGATTTGTCAGAAAAGGTGGTAATTGAAGCCATGAAAATAGGTAAGGTTGCCCAGGGCAAGTTAGCACAATAAGAAGAGAAAGTGTCGGGCCGCCCCATGGCTCACTCAGGAGAGTGCGGGGCTGGTAGCACCGAGGCCGCGGGTTCGGATCCTATATAGGGATGGCCAGTGCGCTCACTGCCTGAGCATGGTGCGGGCAGCACCAAGGCAAGGGCTGCGATCACCTTACTGGTCAAAAAAAGAAAGTGTCCTACTCAGAACCTGGAATAAAACCAACATTTAAGGAACAGAGATAGGAAGAACAATCAGCAAGAAAACTAAAAAGGATCACTCAAGCCAAAAAACAAAAACTACAACTGGGTAATGTGCCAGAAATGAATATTTCAAGAAGGAAAGAGTGACCAAGAGACTCAAATGCTTCTCAGAGATTGAGATAAGACCAGGATTAAAAATTATATACTGGATTTAGTAAAAGGGAGAGGTTGCTGGTAGCCTTTGCAAGAGAATTTCAGTGGGGATGAGGAAAGAAGCTAGACTGCAGTAGATTGAAGATTAAGTGAAAGGTATAGAAATGAAAGTGAGTAAGGACAATTCTTCTAAGACGTTTGGCTATGAAAGGAAAGAGAGGAGGAAGGTGGCAGCTGTAGAGTGATGAGGGATTATCATGCTTTATGAATGGGAGAAACACATATTTCTTTTCCACTAAACTGTGAGCACCATGATGTGAGGGATCATGTGTACATTTTGTTTAATCACTGCATCCTTCCCACTTAGCCAAGGGAGCTAAGTACTTTCAATAGGAATGGTAACAGAAAGGAGCTAAAAGATGAGAAGAGTTTTAAGACACAGAAGAGAGAAAAGGTAATCAGTAAAAACTGTAGCCAGGGCAAGCTATAAAGGATACATTTGGAGCACAGGAGGAGGAACTGGCTTTACAGAGGATGTGGAACACCTCTTCTCTGAAACAAGAGAGAAGAAACAAAATAGATGAACACAAACATAGGTAAATACGGGCAAGAAGCTGAAGAGATTTATTAAGTAGGAACCAAGCTTTCTAACCATCCTGCCACGTATGAAACAAATGTACACAATGAATACTGTCCAGCACAAAATGCCAAAAGTAACATAAGAAACACTGAGATGAAGAGTTCTTTCAGAATAACTCAAATCACATTAAAAGTCTACATAGAGACTCTCTTCTAAAGAGAAAAAATGAGTAATTTTTCATGGGGATTGGGGAAGTCACACACCCCGATTTCTGCATTTCTTCCTCAGAAGCGTTCAGCTGCAGAAGCTGCTCGAGGAATGTTGGGGATCTATAGTCATCCATAGCTATACCACGTTCACCAGAAACATGACTACAATTTACATTTTACGCATATGGAGACAAGCTCAAGGTAAAGATACCAGAGAACAAACATCATAATGTTTAAAACATAAAATATGGGGGGTCAAAAACAAAAAACAAAACCCCAAAACATTAACTATACACCACCATTAAATGAAATCCAGAGAACTGATGGCACATATTTTTATCACCAAGTTTTTTCCTATGAAATTATGAGTCAATACTGATTCATTAAGTACAATGCTGAAGTGGCTTCTCACTCTATTTAACTTATGCCACTTAAAATAATGCAAGTGTGACAGCAATGGTTTTTAAAACCTACATATATATTCAAAAAAGAAACAAATATATTTTTATCTCATACTTTGGACAAAATGTTGACTTGAGGACATGTACTATAAAGATTAGAGTAAAATAGCTTCTCACCTTGACTACTCCATCAAAGCCAGGGATTGTGTTAACCTTTGCTTTCTTAGCTAATAATTTGCTTTCAATCTTGTCACCCATGGCTTGAATAGCATGTGTGTCAGGTCCAATGAAAACGACATCTTCTGCTGCCTGTTAAGAAAAACAAGGTGACATTTTAGAAAAGAAAAAATTTTCATAAAAAGGAAAACCCATACGTATATTTACTAATTATTTATACAGCAAAAACAACTTAGAAATAAGCCTTTGAGCCAACACATCAAAATACATAATAACGTATTACATACAGTACATTTGTACATATGGGGGTACTTCAAAAAGTTTGTGGAAAAACAGAATTAAAGATAACACAATTGTTTCCATGAACTTTTTGAAGTACCTGCATAGATATATGAAACAAAGTCGGGTCAAAGAAAAATAACCAAAAGTAATTAAGAACTCCTGCTTGTTATTAACAGTATTCTTTGGAAAAGCAACTTCTATGACATTGTATTTATATATAATATCCTGCCACCCAATCTAAACAATAAGTTCACCTTTAAAATGCCTTATAAATCTTTGTATTCTCAATACCCTGCAGCACAGTGCCTTGTACAACACAAATATCACTATTTATTGACTGCCAACTCTGTGCTAGGCTTTGAGCTAAATGTAGAAGATAACATGGATGAAAACCACAGGATATCAATGAATTTAAGGAAACATGAACAGATTACTGATACCTCAGAGAAACAGACGAAATGGAAGTACAGAATGTTTACGTACTATCACTACAAAGGATGCACCAAGAATACAGTGAGTAGAGTTATGGTTTCAGTAAAACACTGCTCTGCACAAACCACATTTATTTCCCTTACAATGGGTCTACCTCTCTGTGTTCATGTCATTATAATAAATGAAAAGCTAATGAATTAAATAGTAATTGGTGACAGAACAAAACACAATGTAGCTCCACTGAAGGGCATGGTCTAGAAAAGTGGTTTGTTGAGACAAAGGATGCAGTCATTACATAAAGAACTGAAGTTAAATATAAAAAATGTAATCAACAGACCTGTATGCACATCAGAGTAAGGTGCCTAACTACTGATGCTCCTATGACATTTGGTCAGGGTTGGTAGAAACAATAAATTACATATTCGTATATCACTTTTCCATCACCTATTCTTTTTTTTTTTGTCTTTTTTTCGTGACCGGCAACGGATCGCAACCCTCAGTGTCACGCTGGTACCGGACCGGGACCGGCAACGGGATCGCAACCCTCGGTGTTGCACCCGCCCCTCGCTCAGCCAGTGAGCGGGAACCGGTCTGTATGTGGGATCCGAACCCTTGGCGGGAGCGCCGCTGCGCTCCCAAGCAGCGCACTGTAGCAGTGCGCCACCGGGCCGGCCCTCCATCACCTATTCTACCTGTTGGCTTTGCTGCCTACAAAGAATCGTGGCTTGGGAAAGAAGCTTCATTCTCCAATGACCAGTGTCATCAGCAGCATGTTGCTTATATTGCTCTCCCAGCCATTATGACCCAGAAGGATTAAACCCAACCAAAGCAGGAAGTGGAAGGAGAACAGGGAATCGACAAAAGGAATACAAGTGTCTTCAAAAAGTTCATGGAAAGATTTGTATTATCTTTTAATTCTATTTTTCCACAAACTTTTTGAAGTACCCTCATCCATGAGAAAAGAAATATTTGGAAGATGAGATGACGACTTCAACTTCACACATGCTGAGTTGAGATGCCTGTGGGATAGTTAAGTGGCCATGTTCAGGAGGCAGATATAGAGGTACAGAGGTTATAAGACACGTCTAGGCTGAGATACGTATATTTAAAGGCATCAAATACAAGTTATAGGAGGGAATTAAGAGATGCAGGCAAAATCATTCAGATAAAATATGTAGAAAAGCCAAAGCCTTTAAACACAAGATAGGGGCTGGCCGATTACCTCCACTGGTTAGAGCATGGTGCTGATAACACCAAGGTTAAGGGTTTGGATCCCCATACCAGCCAGCCACACACACACAGAAATAAACAAACTCAAGATGTATACTTTCCCTCCTGCCCAAAAGCAAGACAGAGAAAAAGGGAAATTTTAGATTCTGAGTTTGAAGCCTCTGTTTCTTTGGGTGACAATGGGGATAACTGCTGCCTGGCAAGTTTGATAGAACAATTAAATAAAACAATGTGTGCAAGAAAAAATTTCTTTCTACCCTTCTAAGTTTATAGCTGGGGCACCTATTACAAAGAGCAGATTAACAAAAGAAAAACACAAATTTATTTAATATAAGTTTTATGGGTCACAGGAGCCTACATAATACCCAAAGAAGAGTTAAACTTGAGTGTTTTTTAAACAGGTTTGATGAAGAGTGATCAGCCACGGAGAAATAAGAGAACAAAGAGTACCAGATAAGTGCAGTAAACAGGGAAATTAACAAGGCCGGTTTGTTTGGATTCCTCTCTGTGTCCTTCTGTCTTTGGAGATAAGGATGCACCTTTCCTCCAGGTATAGGGAAGGCACCTCTCATGTGAGGGTCTTATGGCCTGATTCAGGGGAGAAGGACAGGGGAAGGTCAGAGAGACCTTCCTGCTTCTGCCATTTTCTCAAATTCCTGCCACTTAAAATATTCAATATGCCGATGTGACATATTTTGGAGCAGCATGTTCTGAACCCCATCAATAATAATATAAAGCACCAAGCTGAATGCCACACTGTTAGTTTTTGTCCACTATCCAGAAGTCCTGATTAACAGATCAGCAACATAACCAGCACCACTTTAGACAAGCCCAAGTACAAAATGGCGCTGCCCACCTCCTCCCCTGCCCCCCTTCCCTTTACGAGAAGCCTCCTGGCTTTCAGAAACCCCTTTTGCTTCCACAAGGATACAGTTCTCCACCCCAATCCACATTAGCATAATGACCCTCCTTAATGGTATCAGCCAACCCTTGGTGCACTATATAAGCTCTACCACCCCCACACCTCGTGCTGTCCACCATTTTCAGGGCAGCCCTCGGCCCTGTGCCACTCTGAGCACAGCCCAGCAGATTTCTTTCTTTAATAAAGCTTGAACAGTACCCAGCATCTCGGCTCACATTCTTTCACTGATAAAAAGAGAACACTAATATAATAAGGCAACTAGGCCCACAGAACCCCAATATATGTTACAGGAACCCAAATACCTACAATTACCAGTGTTACAAGTGGCAGAATGCTAGATAAGAAACTTCTTCAGCCGTAACAGATGCTCATGAAGTACTGCCTAAAAAATGTTTGTATCTAGGTTTAATACAATCTTATTTGCATGAAAAAAATCTTATGTGAAACCCCCCAAATGTAAAATACATGAAAAGTGGAGTTCTTCTGTATGAGAAGATAATACTGGTAGGCCTACATCTCCAAATACTTTGTCGCCAGCTGGATAAACTAATCATTTCAGACCAGAGCAGTAATCATATTCATTTCTCTTTATCCCAAACCTACAACCCACTAAACACTAAGTGAAGGCAAGAGGAAACAACCATGTTTCAACTATCAATTGTCTTTCCATGGTCTCATTTTACTTGCTAAGATGGAAGAATTTTTATTATATATGCTGTTTTTAAAACCACTATGCCAAGCAGATGTAATCAAGTAATCAGAATACCCACACAAAGAGTTCAAGAAATAACATAAATGAGAATGTCCAAAATACATTATGATTACACAGTAAGATTTCTGATTAACAGGAGCCCAACAACCTGGACCACTGATTAACCAGATTTTTCTCATGCATTCTAATTTGAGGAAAATTACTCACCCAAAAATGCTAAATTGGCAAGAGAAAAGCTCATATCAAGTACATAGGGACTATTTTTTTGTCCCATTTCACCCAAAAGAAAAATAGCCCATAGTACGCTGGATAACTACTCAAACAAATGTTTCAGTGAGTTAACTTCCTTTTTATCAATATGTTTTGGAAGTACTCCCCAGGTTGGCCTTTAAGTGTAATTAAAGCAAAGTAAGAAAACAGCATCCTAGGCTCTTGAAAGGATGAAGTCAGGATAAAATAGTATGTTCATTGCAAAGTGATGAAGCATGTTTCAAAAGTCCTGAGTTCTTGACCAGAGTCAGTTGCGTGATTTAGAACTTGAGGACACATTTTATCCACTTATAACCTTTTGATACTCATCTGTTAACACTGTATCTTTTGTTATCCATCTAATTAACAGTTTCCCTTAATCACAAGTCTTTTGATATGCCATAGCAATAAAATTTACTTCTAAAAGTATGCTCTTTAAAGGCCTTTTAAATAAAGCATAGATGATAAATACCTAAAGATAAATGTCTTATGGTCATGAAAAAAGTAGGCATTTTTTCATCATTACTGGAAAATACTTTAATAGTGACTCATAGAAAATAAATTATGAAAAGCTGAAATCACTATTCTAGTATTCCATTCATCCTAAATTCTGTGATTTTATGGTTCTGGTCAAATTTCAGTAGAAGAATGGGGAAAAGGGTTGGGTTTGAGCCGTATGTTAAGAAAATAATAAGATTTAATTTACAGCAGGCTTTAGGTTGGGAATGAAGGACAGAAATAACTATCATTTGTAAAAATTAAAATGTATGATACCTATTTTATTCTTAGAAATACAAGTTAATAAATTGCCATGCTATGATTTTAGATTTTTTAAATGTATATACTTTAGGCTTACCAAGTGTTGCTACTTGGATAATTATAAAACTAGTGTCAGGCAAGCGAGAGAGCTATGGGAAAACTGCTGAATTGCTCAAAAGAGCCAGATTCTGGTTTTCGGTACTACTCCCTGCTAATAGAAAAAAAGGGTTTCTGGTAGAAAAGGCCAGTTACAAAATTGGTGGAGAATATATAGTTAGCACATGAGGTAAACTGAGTCAGCAAGAAAGCTTTCAAAAATTAATACAGCTGTGTCAAAAGCACAGAGTTGCAGACAGAAAGGGGTGCCCACTGAATACAGTGATGTTCATATGCATCAGAAAGAATAATGGGGAATTAGAAGAATAATTCATCTTTTCAAGACCTCAGAATAATACTTTTCTTGCTCTCTCCATTCAAGTATTTGAACTTCTTGGATGTGTGTCACTATTTTAAAATATGTAGCTCTTTAAAAAGCAATATAAAGGA